TGTTTTTTATAATGAAAACCTTTTAAGGTATTTTGCGTAAACTTGTCAACTAAAACTTGTCGCATTGTTTGACTTAAAAAATTTGATTAAATCATTCTCTATCTTTATAAAAGCGATCACATATTAAGTCACTCCAGTTCATTCAATTGAGTTCACTCACCAATGAATCAATTCGTTTCCCCTTTGTGTGAAGATGCATTTCAATTATTTTAGAAGTGAAAATGAGTAACCGAAATATTTTTAGTGAATGTGAAGCTCATTTCCATTTTAACGATTATGGCTGCATGTAAGGGTAAATAAAATTATTCGAGTCATTTAAGAGTAATAATCAATTAAAAAGCTTATTTTATTATTCTTTACTAATGGTGTGGCCATTGATAAATCTGGGGTAATTTTTTCAAACGAGATGCATTTTTAATACACTTTTAGTGCAGTTTTCATTTGGGATTGGTAAATCTTGAGTGAAATTGTGCCAATGTCCAGCATTGGCAAGTAGGAGGAAGATTGTCTTGGGACACCATTGGGTTGGTGATGACTTGGCAGGCAATCTCAAGCTAAATGAGCTACTTGCATTAACAAGAGATGTAGTTATGCGAACTGAAGCCACTCCAGCTTCAACTCAATAACGATATCCGCGAATAGGACGAAAAATGAAAATGTGGTCTATTTCAGCTAATCGTTCACTTCAGTGGGTCACTTGTTGGACGGTGCGCTGTCCCAACGTCCCACCATAAGTAATTATGAGTTAAATGTATAACAAAATTAATTTATAACACTCTAGATATTTTGGCGGAGTAGCAAGATTACCCTGAAATAAACAGCTGTTTTATATAATTTGAGAGATCAAGTGTGATTTAATTCGATATATGTAGTTTTTTATGAAAAATATAAATGTCTAATAATACTACAAAATAATAGATTACTTTAAAAATGTTTGATTAGGCAGCAAAATTTGATGCAATCAAGAGTAAATCGATTTTTATGTCTTGCACTAAAGAATTATATCCAGTGTTTACGGGACGTTCTCAGTAAACAGTCTGTGTATACTGCACTGTAAAATTGCTTTTTATAATAAAGTCACATTCTGCAATTTTGCATTACTTTAACTGCTATAAATATATAAATGTTTAAGTGAATTATTTGATACTTATTTATTTACATATCTCTGCTAAAAAAATTACTGCTGTTCCAGTAATACTGATATAAATATATTGTAATATTCCTAAATCCGGTATGTAAGGCAATACGTTACATTTATAGTTAAACACATTTTGCATACCAAAAATAAATCTGTGACTTCAACATTTAAAAATAATAATATAAACGTACACATAAATAAACTTATATGTATATATATATATAAATATATATCTATATATATAAAATATTTCAAATTTAGTTTTCTGAAATCAAATCACGTTCTACCAATATTTGCTAATTTTTTTTTCTATGATCTAAATAAACTTTATCGTACGTGTTGGGTGAGTTGATGATATAAACTTATAACTCTTATAGGAAGTACTCGTATGTACTAAAAATATATTATTTTCTATGACAAAATTTTAATTAGTTATAATCATTGAATTTGTATATATTTTTTTCTCTTCTAAAAAATTAATGTTTTATTTTTAAAAAGTTTTGTGGCTTTTCTTTTGAATAGATTAAAAAATAGTAACAGAAAAATTATCACTGAACGTATTATGTATGCAACAACTTGGAAACTGTTATATCTAAATACGAAATATTATCTATAATCTCATCTATAATATTTAAACATTGTAAGATTTGTCTTGATCTTTTAAAAAAAAACCCTTGTTGTTTTTCTTCCAAACCGTATCTTACGCTGATTTTTTAATAATCACTCCACAAAGGCAGTATGCATATTAAATGCATTTAATAGGTAGATGCACTCATATTGGAATTATCTTGATTCAATTATCTTCAAACAAGAATTCCTCAATTTTAAGTATTTAAATCTCTATTGTTAAAAGTCTACAATATACCTTCGTCATATCTCCTCTCCACGTGT